AGTGTTGGAGTGATTTGTTACAGGTGACTGATCAACATTATAAACGTTATGGTTATGTTGCTTTTTTCTATGTGTGTTAATGATTGGCCTTTCATTCTTGACTGGATGATTAGTTTTTTATTTTTTAATAAGCTATAATGATTATTCTTTTATACCAAAATGTTCATTCACTATTCCTTTTATGCATGAAGTATGTCATTTTGAATTGATTTGTTATAATTGAGTTCTATGCAATGAAATTGTTGTCATTCTGAATTGATTTATTTTAATTGAGTTCTATAGTGTAATGAAATTGTTGTCATTCTGAATTGATTAATTTTAATTGAGTTTTGTAGATTGTGAGGTACCAAAAAAATAGTTGAGAGTGCTTTTAGGCACGAGTTATAAATTTTTATTTTTTTTACTTTACATTTTACTATTTTGATTTGCATTAAAGCTAAGGGAAGTTGTTATTTTAATTAAGTTCTATAGAGCGTGTCGTACAAGTAAAATTGTTGAAAATTCTTTAAGAAGAATAAAAAAATGTTACTCCACAAATTTTAAAATGAAACGTATAAATTACAATTATATTTTAATCACAATAATATTTACACCGTGCCTTTAGGCACGGGCATACACTAGTCATCAAATAAGTTAAAAGACTATCATACTCACAAAACTAACTTATATTATTTTAATATATTGTGAATAAAATAAAATGTAAAAATTATATAGTAATGAATCGACAAATTTTAAAATGAATGTCAATCGACCCATAGTTTTTGTCGTCTAATTTGTTTGTTTTCTCATACTCTACAAGTTAGTTTGAATAATTTAAGTTGGTGCAAATTCACAAGTTAACAGTTTGTTTGTTTGTTTGCAAATTCACAAGTTAACAGTTTGTTTGTTTTTTTTTTTTTTTTTTTTTCACACCTTTATTAAGGTTAAGTTTGGCTAATACAAAATAATCCATCTTTTTATATTTTTATCTTTTTTTTATCACATTACCTCTCTACTTTTCTACACATCTTTTCGTAAAAAGACAAAAAGTGTACTTATTTAGGTCATCCCAAACAACCCTTAAATTGTAAGATTATCAAGTATATTGTAAGATTATCAATGCACAGTGGGATTGTTATCAATGAGTTTAAAATACCAAACAAGAACATACAACAATAATTTGGAAGTTGTTGGGTCCTAATAATGGTGCACGGATCCCCTCCTTGCATCATTTCTTACTTGCAGGGCTATTGGGCTCACTTTTAGACTTAATTTTGATAATTCGAACCGTTCATATTTAAGATTTGTTCAGTATATCATACCTGTAAAAAATCAAGTTGATCAGATATCAGAAAGCATGTGTTCGGAAAAATTGAACAAAAAACTATTTTTTTTATAAATTTAATAAACAGTTTTCCGAACACATACTTTCTGATATCCAATCAACTTGATTTTTTACAGATATAATATACTGAACAAATCTTAAAATATGAACGTTTCGAATTATCAAAAATGGGCCTAATGACCCTACAAATAAGAAATGCAAGGAGGGAATGTAAGGAGGGCATCTTGACTCCCTAATAATGAGCACACCAACTCAAATAGTACTGTATCAAGAAAAAAGAATATATATTAAAGGAGTTAGGTAAGGGGGAGATGTGGTTCTAACTCCAACTCATTTTAGCAGAAAAGGGGTTAGAATCTAACTAATCTAACATGTTCACCAAACTAGTGGTTTTACGTAGTATTGCAGTCCATTTCAAGCTATCTATGCCAGGTCAATCTAGAGGGCATATATGCAAGATGGGTTGCTTTGGCATACCAAAAGGAAGGAAGCTTTTACTTTCACAAATCAAAAAATTTATATGCATAGCTTTACTCAATATATATTTAATGATTTTCAAACATTTTTCTCAGTATATAGTCTATCATGACATAAATATATACCTTTATCTTCTTTAAATCTTTACCTTAATCTTAATCCTAGCCACCACTTGCCTCTACCCTTGGCCACCATCATAGCCACCACGAGCCCTTGTCACCATTGTAAGCCCCCATCCACACACCCACCCACTCCACCGTTGCAAACCACCTCCATCGCAAAATCCGTTTTGCTGCAACCGTTTTTCATAACTTGTTATCGTTTTCAATTGTTACTACTAACCGAACTGACGAAAATATTTTTTTTTTTTTTACATTTTAAAAAAAAGATTAATAATATATGTTTTGTAATAAAAGTGAAGGGGGAAGCATTTATAGAGCACTTTTTTACCATTTTTCTTTCTTTATTTTCAATTTAGAATTCTACAAGTTCCTATACATTTATTTATTTTCAATGTAAAATTATGCAAGTTTCTATATCTTTAAAGCCTTAAATGAGTATGTCTTTTACACAAAACCGACAAAATCAAACCATAGCATACAAGTCGGTTTTAATTTTTCAACCAACAAAACTGAAAAGTGCGGTTCTATGCTAAATTTTTCCTTAATCTCAACCGAACTAAAATGTGTAGCCTCCGTTTGGGAAGTGGGTTGGCTTTTTGGCTTTTTGGCTTTTTTGGCTATTTTAGCCTGGGCTAAAAAGCTTGGTTTGGGAAGGGCTTTTTGGCTTTTTGGCTTTTTGACTTTTTTTTGTGAGAGAAGAGTGTAATGATTATGGGTTAGATGTGATGTTTTGTTTGTTGTGACTAAAATAACCTGTTTTGTCTTTTGTGGCTATTTTAACCCCAACCCACTTGCCAAACACCACCGTAATATGTGATTTGTTTTAATGGAATATAAACGTTGTCTTTTCACTTTCTATTATAAGGCGTCTCTATCTGTATGCATCCTTTCTATGTACACTTATCTGGCTCTATTTTGATTGGCTTCAATTAGGTAATCCGTCACTATTACATCTATTTTAATTTATCTCGAACTTATCTCTATGTTTCTCAGAGATTAAAGTTTCTCAGAGATTACTTACTTGATTAATTTCTTGTACTATATTCTGATCAAGTCCAGTGTTAGACACTGTGTTCTTAAGACAGATTCATCCTCTCCACGGTACTTTCAGAATATGGACGTCTATCTCCCAAAATAAAATGATCAATCAACGAATAAATGCGGCATTACAATTTATTCACACAACGAACACACTAAGTGTTTACATGTTTACACTTTTTCTCACAAAAAATTAAATGCAGCAAAATGCAGAGTATATTTGCAGAGGAAAAGTACGAAAATTCTGAATGAAAACATCAAATGAGGGCTGCCTATTTATAAATGTAGTGGTAGCTTTTCAATTTGAATTAAACAGGTGCAAAACCTGTCATACCTGTTCAGTTTGAATAAACAGCTACGAATCTGTTGGGTTCAAATTTTGAACAAATAAAAACCGTAGGGACCTGTTTGGATGTAGGGAAAAATCGAAATCGAAACTGATTATTTTTGGAATTAATTTGAACAATAAAGATCCGGATCCCCTTTTTTTCCCCATCCCCTTGACCCCCTCTCAACCTCATTGGACAGTTTTTCTTTCTTCTTTTTTTTTTTTCCCTTCTCCTCCAATTACCACCCACCACGTGTGTGTGGGGGTGGTGGGGGTGGTGATTGGAGGGGGTCCCAATCATGACTGTAATTTGAATTCTGGATAGAAATTTTATTTTACCAAAAAATAAAATTAAATTCAAATATTTTTGGCCCAAAAAGATTAATATTGGGCCAAACAAGCCCAACCCAACCTCACACAAGCCTGGACGGACGGATGGCGCGCGCGTGATATTTGGGTCCAATACGTCTAGCCCATTTTTCCTATAACCTCCCTCTCTACAAAACTTTGGTGCCCTTTGGGCCTATCCCAAGTTCCAATCCCATGTCTTATAAACCCACTCAAAACTTCCCACAAAATCAACGTGGGACAAGCCATTATTCAACTCTTTAAGAAATTTCTACCAAAACTCAATTTCTATGGAGCTCACTTTGGTTTCAATTTCCCATTCACCCGATAATGGTTTTGAGCAACCAAATATACCATGTAAATCACAATGCGGCATAGAACGCGTTACCACTTAAACCCGCCAACTTTGGCGTACAGGTACCACCTAAAAAATAGACCAAAATTAAGAAAAAATTCTGTTTTTACCTAGATTTTTTCAAAACATTTCTAACAAAGTTTTGATATGAAGTGTTGTAATAAAATTATTCTCATTATGAATTATTCAATTTGTTGTCCATAATTTAAAAAAATAAAAGTTCAATATTTTGAGAATAATGTGTGTGTTTTAGCTTTTGAGCAATTGAACGTTGAGGTTTGAAGTTTTATTTTATTATTATTGTTTTTAATTAGATATGCACTATTTCATATAGGAAGGCGTATTAATTATTTACTCGGACCTTTTTGTGATAGATTTTCATTGATGTTGGATATGATTATCCATTTTTTCAATTTGATTTGTGTTGATCTTAATAAATTGTATGCACTTCGAGGTTGTTTATCCTCTGCACTAATTAACTCATGTATTATCGTGATTGATTACATGATGACATCATTGTTAATATAAAATAAATAAATAAAATAAAAAGTTTTTTTTCTGATAGTTTCCAAAGGTGACAATCATTCTGAATTTTAATCTTTTTCGAAGGATTGAATCTACCTATTATTGCATTTTCTGAAATATTTGCATGAAATAAAGAAAATGTTGCCTATATATATATATATATATACACAATATTTCATTGTTTCAATAAAGCATGCCTTGACAACCAACTTGATACATTTCACAGTGCGTAGGATGTATGTTATCCCTTTTCTTTATAAAATTCACACATATAAATGTATAATTATAAACAAATCCCGTGCATAACAAGGTAAAACACTAGTAGAATGTACAACATACGCGATGATTGTTGTAATGATATTCAAATAAATCTCATTCATACTCAACCATTAATAATTATACATACTAAACAAAAAATGCTATGAAAATATGACAAACATAGAATTAATTATTTTTGTAATTTTTTATTTTTTATTTTTGGACAAATCTATTTTTTTGAACAATTTTAATAGTATCAATTCATGAAAACCTCTCAAAATTTTTATATAATATTACATAATTCTAAAAAAAAATTCAAGGTTCAGTGCGTTCTACTTCATGCATAGCTCCGCCCGTGCTTAAGCTCTAGTTTTCAGAAGTCTGACATCGCACAGATCTTCTGCTGTCAAGCAGTTTCTAATTCTCTGTTCAAGTAATCCACAAACATCCTCTTTGCACTCTCTGCATCGGAAGGTGGGGGTGGACCACTTAAGCTCGATTGGCCTGCCAATTTTATGAAAGTTCTTCGCAGCCTACGTAGCTCCGGCAGCCCAACTGCTCTTGAAATATTGACAGTTGGTAGTCCATGGCCAAGAGTAATTCTATTCACAGGACCCCCGATTGCCCGGGATTGGGCTTCCATGATAGCACTCATGACTTCTTGTGTCGCTCTGTCCATCTCATAAAGAGAATTTGCCTCAGAAACCCGTGCAGTTTGTGTTGCAATTGTAGGCAGCAAAACTCTAACATCCTTTGTTTTCGAGTCCACCTTTTTCGTAAGATACAAGACAGCATCGACAATGGCTGGAGAAGATTTTTCTACACCATCTTTAAATGGCCATAATTCAAACAAAGGTGAATCCCATCGATTTCTTCTATCTGGTTTCTCGAACCTTCTTACCAAATCATCAAATATCTTATCATTGTATGATGATTCCACTCTCTCTCTGCGTTCTTCGTTCCATTTTCTACAATGGGTCACTTCAACATCACAATAAAGGACACAATATCTTATTCCTGCAGCACGAGCCAAACACCATAATTCATATCTGTAACCCTTTATGCTGTTTAAGGAATCCACTATGATAATATTATCTTTTGACAAGGATCTATCAACTTCAGACCTAAGGACCCCTCTTAAATTCTTCTCTGCAGTCATGTCGCCATAGCTGTGGTTCCGATCAAGATGAAAGGAAGTTTCATCAATGATTCTGACTGTAGGTTTGGATTCTGTGCCATTGAGAGCCTCCGCTAAGCAGAGTGCAGCAGTTGACTTCCCACTGCATGGTTGCCCACAGATTACAACCAATGCCATTTGCAGAAAATTGGAATTGTTTTTTGAGGCAGTGATATATGCTCCTAGCTTTCCTCCTTACAATTCAGATAAAGTAAATCAATAAGCATCACATATAGTTGAGAACTGTATACTTCTTGAGACAGACAGTTTCAAATTAGAGATGCATGCAAAAAAATTGAAACTCACTAACCCAAAAAACAAAAAAAACAAAGGAATTCAACTGATGATGTTCAATGAATGTCTCTTAAAAGTACTTTGAAGTTCATATGAAAAAGAAATGAAGGCATGCATGAGTATAGATAATTACTCATGGCATTCAAGGGGTTAAGAAATAGGAAAAGGACAGAAGAATTAATGGGCCAGTTAGAAACATAGCAATTGGATAATAATTGATAACTTACACTCTGTTAGTTTGGGCGGGAAACGTTTTCCAGCGGTTGGTATGACGAATAATGAAAGTCAAAGGAAATCATTTTCCTTGATCAATGGAAATAACAAAGTCAAATCTTGTGTCAAATTTGGCTACAAGTTTAGCAAAAATCTTGTTTGCCACATGAAATTTTCTGTTGAAAACTCAACTGCCTTACCTACTAGATTTCACAAAATGAAGTCACCGTTGAAATACTATAGTAAAAAATGATTTTTTAAACCATAAAAGCCAAAAACTAATTTTAATAAAGTCATTTTAAATTTGACCATTAGAGTTGCTCTTGTAGTATGATGCTATCAGTGTATATTAAACACCGTTAATCCATCCATTTGCACAAAATGCTAGCAAATTGTGATCAATTCTAACGACTCCCCTGTCGACAACACACATAAGCTAACTTTATGTGATGCAGTATAGTTCCAATAAACTTCAGGATTATGCAGAGTGGATATAAATTGAAGGTCAACTTCCTAGTTTCTATCATCTTCTCCATGACAGACAGCGATAGATAGGTTTAGTCATTTGTATGTTGTCAATTAGAACCCAAACTTTGAATCTGAATCTCCTGTTCTTGTTAATCAACCATTCGTATTTGAACGTTTCGTTCCCCCAGGAATTGCCTGTTGGACTCAAAAGGTCACATTTTAAATAAATCAAGGTCCCATTCTAGTGAACAAAAAACCACAAAACATTCCATGAATTCCACAACTAGGTAAATAGAACCTCTTGTCATTGTTCAGTTGCTCTATTCCTCCTCCTGTCTCTGGTTGTCATTTTCTCTCCATATCTTGCAAATATATCCGCTAAATCAAACAACCCAACCTCTCTCAATTTCTTCGCCATCACCTCAAACATAACCACACCCTCCTCATTCGAATAGTAATGCAAGAATCTATTGTAATCAAACCTAGGTACTTCGAGCCCTCTATTCATCACTCTTTCAACATACTTTGTTGCTTCTAATGACTTCCCCGCCTTAACCAAACCTCCAACAAAAATGGTGTCGAAATTGACTAGTGGATCGGATCCCTTCCTACCTCTCTTCCCCAAATGCCCTTGCAATAGCATAATATATGTATGCATTATTGGTTCACACCCTTTCTTTATCATCTCCCTAAACACTTGCGTTGCTTCACTTGCCCTTCTCAACTTCAAAAGCCCCTTAATCATTCCATGATACACAGTTATATCTGGCTTCTCAATTCCTTCCATGATCATATAAGCCTCCCTAACTCTGCATTTTGTTAGAAGACCATAAATTAGAGACGCCATTGTCATGTTATCTGCTTGAATCCCTCTCTTTTGCATTTCATCAAACACCAAATGTGCCTGCCCAAGCTTACCCTTTTTACACATCCAATTGATCACAAGCCCGTATGTTGAAACACCCAAAACATCAACCCTGTTTGCTCTCATCATTTGGAAAAGCTTCATCGCTTCGCCAAATCGGTCACTCTTGAAAAGAGTCACCATCATTTCCTCAATCGAATCAATATCCAACTCGAACCCTTCATCAACCATCAAGTTCCAAACTTTTGAAGCCTCAATCAAATCACCCACATCACAAAACCCAGAAATTAAAAACTTGTAAGTAACCCCATTTGGTTTAATCCAATCTCTCAACTTTATAACAACGTACTTAGCCTCAACAACAAGCTTAGACTTGCACAAAGTCTCAACCACCTTATTCAAAATCTCCAAACTATAACAACAACCAAAACCATTCATGACATGAAAAAACTCAACACATTTATTCATCTCCCTAGCTGAAGCCAATGTTTTCAATGCGATTCGACACGTCTTGTCATTTATGAGGCCTCGGCGACCCATTTCGTGAAGAACATCCCAGAAGAGCTCAATGTTTCTGGACTTTCCAATTACGTCAAGCATTTTGTTAAAGGTGGTTGATGTGTGATTGAAATGTGGGTGTTGGGTTTGGGTGAATTGGAAGAAATTGTAAACAGGTCGCCATGAAAAGGGGAATTTGTTGCAGATTTGGAGGAAGAACTCATGGGTTAGGTGGAATTCGCACCGATTGAGATGGGTTTGGAGTTTGGGGTGAGGGGAGTGTTGTTGTTGGTAAAGGATGGTGCAAACTCGGAGAAGGTGAGATGGGTTGACTACTGGTGTGATGATAGAGTTGGGGGGTTTGGGAAGGGTAAAATTGGTAGTTAAAGTTCGAAGTTGGAGGTGGGACAGGAGGTTTATGAGAGGTTTAGGGAATGTTGTTGGTCTTGCTTTCATTTGGAAAATGAGAAAGGGTAGAAGAGATGGGTACCTTCAAAATGGGAAGACCAGAGTTTCTTTCCTACAATGAAAGCAAAAGTTTTGGTTAATTGAAAAGCAAAAACAAGAGATGGCTTGTTTTTAATTGGTGATCTAATTGGAGAGGTAATGTTGGAAAGACTGGCATGTTTGGTGCAGCTTATTGTAAGATAATTAGAAAGCAAAAGTCAAAAAGTATCTCTTCCTCAATTTCTAGATAATCAGCTTATTTAAACTATTTTTGCCTAATAAGTTGTAAACAGAAGTAGCACCAAAAAGAAATTATGGCATTTATGAGTAGATAATCACTCAATGCATTCAAGGGACCAAGAAATACGAAAAAGGTAAAAGAGTTAATGGCCTAGTTAGAAAGAGAGCTATTGGATAATTATTGATAACTTATGCCCCATTAGATTCGGCGGACAATATTGTGCGTAGGTTGGTATGACGAAAAATGAAATTCAACGAAAATGAGCTTATTTAGGCCAAAAACATTCTCCGTTTTTTAACAAGCCACCATTGCTACAATCACCACCACCCTAGCACAATGACTAGCATATTAATTTTAAACTTGCAACCAAACATAAAAAAATAAAAATAAAAAATTGCTTTCTGTGAAAGAAATTTTTTGAAATTTTTTTCCTATCGAAACAAATGTATCATTAGTGGTTTCTTAAAGGATACTTTTTACATTGAGAATCTAATTGAGTTAGCATGAATTGCGTCCCATTAACCATAGGATCACATGCATAATCTGCACCACAATAGTTACAAGAAGCCCTAGGTTTTTTTACCCTCTCCAACATCCAATTCAGTGAAATGATCCCAAACCTTAGATCTTTTTCTACCAGTTTTAGGTTTAGTTTTCTTGGGTTCTTCTTCGTGTGTTGTGGGTTCTCCAATAGCAGTTTCATTAGGCTTTTACTCGAGGGCAAATTGTATCATCCATATAATAACAACACCAATTTGGAGAAATTTATCATCCATCACAACAGTGTGTATACACCAAAATGACAAACACCGTCAAAAACAGTGGCTATTATGTATATGCATAACAGCACAACATGATAATCAAACATTGTCAAAAACAATGGCTAAGTATAACACAACAAATCACAGTGGCCATATAGTATATACTACTAGCATGATAGCTTAAAAAAATGCATGTTGAAGTGTTTTTCAACCAACAAAAACTAGCTACTGACTGACACAACACAACTAACAAGAAAATTTAACACACAAACAGGGTGATTGGGTTTGTATGAACCCAGCACTGAAAAGTACCATGTTTTGAAATTGGGGATTTTTAAATTAGGGTTTGAATTGGGGGTTTTGACATATTTTAGTTCATTATTATTAGAGAAACCCTAGGTAATTAGAAGGTATGAATTGAGATTACCTCAGGCAAAGAACGAGACTTTAGATGGAGTGGTTGCACAGACGAAGAGAGATAAAGAAGAATGGTGAGATAGACCCCCTCTTGAATGTTGAGATTCGGAGGCGGTCCCAGGAGAGTGAGATTCCTTCGCTTTCGAGGGCAGACAATGGTTGATATTGAGAGAGAGAGAGAGAGAGAGAGAGAGACGAGATGGTTGATGGAGGCGAGATGATCGTCAATGGATGGTTCTTTGACAAAGAAACAGGAGCAGGGTGACTCGAGGGGAATCGTGACACTATGGCCTTGTTTGGCAAAGCTAAAATTTGGCTTTTGAAGTTAAAATTCACTAAAAGTTAAAATATATTAAAATAATCAATAAAATAAAATGTCAGGAAAATTCTATTTTCAACACCCTAATAAACTCAGTCAACACACTTAATGAAAAATTAGATTAATGACAATTATATCCTACTTGAAATTTACTATAATAGCCATTGATCAACCCTCCTAATATTATATATATAAATTCTCTATACACATCTTTTAAAAATAAAAATATCTTAATATACACTGTTTGAAACAAAAAAATTAAACCCTAATTTTTTTTTGTAGTCACTTTGCTTCTTATACACTCTGTACTCCTCTCTCTTATTTGCAAACAAAACATCTCCTCTATTGTTTTAATCTTTAAGTTTATACTCAATTATTAACATCGTTTAATTATTAGTTCAACAATTTTTATTTGATTTTGATATGGAAGAATTGCAAACCTATGACAGTTCAAACTCAAGCAATAGTGATGGCAAAATCAGTGTTGAAAAGGTAAAATCGTTGAGTAATTTTTTTTCTTTTTTGCGTTTTTCAGTCGGTAATGCAGTGCCGAATTTACTAAATTAATTCGGTAATACAATTCCGAAATAATATAAATAGTTCGTCACTATAAATTCGATTTTTTTAATTTGTTTCGGTTTTAGTGTTCCGAACAAAATCAATGTATTCGGTACTAGGAATCCGAATTTTATTATTATTTTCGTTCTTCAATTTCCGAATTTTTTTATTTATTTCGCCTCTGTAGAACCGAATTAAAATTTTCCGCCTCCTCTTCAGATGGCATGCACTGAAGAACCTAAGATTCGATCGGATATTATGGTGGATTGTACTAGTCATTTTACAGCTAAACAGGTAATTTTTAACATAAAATTTGTAAGTTCATAAATTTGTGTTAGTTAGTTTGTTTAGTTTGTTATTATGAAAGTTATGTGACATCATATATAGGTTTTCGACAGTAAAGATGAATTACTCACTTGGGTACGAGACATTGGAAGGATAAATGGCTTTGTTATTATTATAAGGGCATCGGACTATGGTGGCGGTCGTAAGAGACCAAGAATTTATCTTGCTTGTGAGCGGAGTGGGAAGTATAGATTGCGTAAAAAGCTGAAAGATGGCCCAAAAGACTTATTGAGACAAACTGGTACAAAGAAGTGCGAATGTCCATTTGAATTGAGGGCATTCAAGTTGAGAACAAACGATGAATGGACATTGAATGTAGTTTGCGGGCTGCATAATCATCCAGCTGCGAAGCATCTCCAAGGACATTCATATGCAGGGAGATTGTCAGCTAATGAAAAGTCACTATTAGTTGATATGTCAAAGAGCCTAGTAAGACCAAAAGAGATACTCATTACACTCAAACAGAGGATGAGCACAATGAAGATAGTTTACAATGTACGACATCGATGTAGGGTTCTACAGAAAGCTGGTAGATCCCAGATGCAATAACTGCTGGGTGAATTAGCGAAACATAAGTACATTGAGCGTCATCGATGTGAGGAAGGCTCTATGACTGTCACAGACTTGTTTTGGGCACATCCAGTGAGTTTGGATTTGCTTCGTACATTCCCTCGTGTGTTGATTATGGATTGCACATATAAGACGAATAGATATCGGCTTCCTCTTCTTGAAATTGTGGGAGTAACATCAACTCATATGACATTCTCCGTGACTATCGCATACTTGCAAACTGAGCGGGTTGATAATTATGCATGGGCGTTACAAACATTGCGTGATCTTATGGACGACAGTGTTTTACCTGAAGTCATTGTCACAGACAGAGAGCTTGCTTTGATGAATGCCATTGACAACACCTTCCCAAATGCTCGACATTTGTTATGTCGTTGGCATATTAATAAGAATGTATTGACAAAATGCAAGAAAATGTTTGAGACAAAAGAAAAATGGGACAAGTTTAACACTGCATGGAACTATTTGATATTGTCATCCACTGAAGAGGAATACAATGATCACCTTGCAACACTACATAAGGATTTCAGTAACTATCCGGAGGCAATCAAATATGTTACTGTGAGTTGGTTGAATCCGTATCAAGAAAAATTCATTGCGGTACATACAGACATGTGTATGCATTTTGGCAATGTTACAACCAATCGGTAAGATTTGTTTTTTTTTTTTAATTTTTAATAAATCATATTGTTATTTTTAATTATTATACTTGACTATTTTGGTTTACATCCATATGAACAGGGTTGAGAGTGCTCATGCTAGATTGAAGAGGCAATTAGGTTCAAGTCAAACGACATTTGAGGTTTCATTTGAAAAAATACATTGTCTACTTGAGTTGCAGCACATTCAAGTTAAAGCATCATTCGAGAAGAGTTTGACAACTGTACAACATCAATTCAAACCTTCTCAATTCAGAGAGCTCCGGGGTAATGTGTCTATTTGTGCATTTGAGTATGTGTTAGCAGAGAGCAAGAGATCAAATTCAGTTGGAATTGATGTTGCAACATGTGGGTGTGTTCTTAGGCGCACACATGGTTTACCTTGTGCTCACGAGATTGCAGATTACACGAGACAAGGCCGTCCTATTCCACTCAGTAGCATACTTGTACATTAGACGCACCTTACTATATGTGTGCATAATTTGAAGGAACAAAAGTTGGAATTGACTTGTATCCCAGAACTTGAGTTGATTTTAAAGCGGTTCGAAGAGTCTGATATTGCCACGCAATTGGATATGTTGAAGAAGTTGAGGGAAATTGCAAATCCGGCTAGCACTTTTCTTATTGAGCCCGATGTGAAACCTAATCTACGTCGAGGACATAAGAAAATTGATATATCTTGTCGTCGTGACCCGTGTGCATTTGAGTTAGTTGATGATGAGCATGATAGCCAAAGCACATTAGCTTCCAGTCAGTCAAAGAAAAAGAGAGCTTCAAAAGTGCATGAGAAGAAGCGGAATGTGAAGACAAAGGCATATCGTACAAGAACAAGTTTACCGAATGCATATGTTGCTGGCTTCCCGCCTATGTTAATACCATTCATAAAGTTGATGAAGGATGTAGATGGTGATGGGAATTGTGGATTTCGAGCTATTGCAGGTTTATTTGGTCTTGGAGAGAATGACTGGGTGCAAGTTAGGCGTGATCTGCTACTTGAATTGAATAATCACAGAGATGAATACGTCGTACTATATGGGTCGCATGAGAGGGTTAAGGAGCTGACACACATCCTTTTATATTTTGAAAATAGCGCAGGCTTTGATCGTTGGATGACTATGCCTGACATGGGGCATCTTATTGCATCATTTTATAATGTAGTCTTGTACCACTTGTCATTGCAACAGTGTCTCACTTTCTTACCTTTAAGAGCACCGCCGGTAACCCTAGCTGATCGTCGCGAGATTGCCATTGGATTTGTTAATGAAAATCATTTTGTGCAGGTATAAGTTATGAAAATAACCAAACATTGTTGTCTAATATTTGTGTAATTGCAATTTTTATGTATTTGGTAAAGATATGTAATTTTTTGGATGTATGTGCAGGTATTTTTGGAAGCCGATCATCCAGTTCCTCCCATTGCCGTGCTTTGGCGAGTTTTCCATCACCCCTGTGCGTCAGAATGGGAGAATGCATATGTTAGCCGCATTCAAAAATTCAAAGACAACATAGGACCTACTGTAGCTACTCGAGAGACATTTGATGTAGTTGACATAGATTGAGGTATTACAGAGTAGTAATGAGAGGGTTAGGACATTAGTTTTTATGATTTACTAGTATACAGTAACGAGGTAGATAGCATTTTGCCATTGGATTTTGTAATGGTCAGTTTTGTTTTGCAAAATAGAATATTATAGTTCTCCAATTTATGGAATGGATGTCATATTATTTTTACATTGTCTGAACACAAAACGTAACGAAAATAATATTAACCAAGTGCAATTGCAATTAAAATGCTATTGGATTAAACAAGTATGTAAATAAAATATATATATATATACTAAATAGTAGTTCAATCCATCCGCACCATCACAAACGACATGTCTGCTTGTACATAATCCAAAAGATACATAATTCGAAGATAATAATAATATTTGTCCCCTTATACATCTACCAACATCATCAGAAACTATTTGTGCTAACATTATGAACTACTATTAACTACGTGACCGGCGAGTGTAATGTGCTCCAAAACGATGTGCAGTGGAAGAGCTGGGTGCAGACCGACCCTTAGTGGATGTGCTGGGCGCAGCTTCACTAATGTGCTGATCTTGAAGAAGTTGTTCGATTGCATCAATTGCGTAGTAAAGCCTATCAGGATGTTGAACATTGTCCTCATAGCCAGCCTTAATGAAAGGATGAGTAATATGATATATCTGTGACATACGCTGCATTACGAGAACAAATATAACATTATGTACAAACTTGTAACAGTTTACATAAATAATTTGCAATGTAAATGAAAAAAAGGATACCTATGCGTCTTGGCTAGGATACTGATAATGATGGATATTCAGATCCACTTGAGAACGACGCGATGGGTTTTGTACGTACATATGGGTAATGGTTTGGTACCAATCCATGTAACCAGGAGCACAATCCCAAGGTTGCCGTACCGGTGTACTCCTCCTCCGATCAGATAACACATGGTTGCCCCATGCCTCCCAAATGATGTCCAAATATGCATACATAACATTGTAGCGTGGAGCTGTGGCTCCTCGAGAAGCACGCATAGGGCCAAGTGGTAGATTAGGGATTGTCCGCACTCTGCTAAACTGTCTCAACACTCTATCAGGGTGATATGGTTCAACTACTTCCAAACACTTTAGGCAACCGTGGTTGAACGTAACTGGATGACATGGATGGACATCTCTGCAACTCTAGTACGGGTCCCAAATAACCTACAAACAATAAAAACTGTAAGATATGACAACTGTAAATTTTGTATGATATAGAATTTCAAATTTTGAAGGACTTTTCAACTTACATCATGTACACCCAACCTATCAAGCTCCTCTCGAAAAGCCTGCAACTGTTTCTCTTCACCACACTCTCTCTGAGAAGTCCAACGGTAAACATGTGGTATGTCTCGAGTGTAATTCATATTCAAGTGTGGTCGGAATCCACGAAAGTGCTCATAAATCCACCCCTCAAGGAGTGTCATGTAACCGGCTATTTGTTTCACGCTGGACCTGCTAGCGTACCCCAACTGCCTATATAAGTATGCCAATGCAACAGCACCCCAAGCATATGAAGATACAGTCGTCAAATCGGACAACAAACTCAAATAAACAACGGGGACCCTAGTACATGTCTTGTCACTAAAAAGTGTACAACCTAACAAAAATAGCAAGTATGCTCTACCTGCACATGCAATTCTTTCCATTGAATCATTGTCTGTGACATTATGAAACTGTACCCTCAACCACTCAAGCCTCACTGAATTGCCTCCAGCAGTAGACATCTCATGTTTGACTTCTTGCTCATCAATTTCCAAGGTATTAACTACTAATGTAACAACCCGCCTTTCTGACAACTTACGCAGGCTAATAGATTTGCCTACAATGGGAAGCCCTAGGATAGTGGCGACATTGTCCAATGTGATAGTCATCTCTTCAACAGTCAAATGGAATGTGTTTGTCTCCGGTTGCCATCTCTCAACAAAACTAGACACTACAATTTTATTGACAAAGCGGTATGTGCAACGAGCTAATTGTGCAAGTCCTGACATCTCCGCAATGTTTACAAATGTACCGTTGTTTCCTTGTTCCCACCATGGCCACGAATGAATCTTAGATGAGTGATTATGACACTTTAAGGGCCCCCTTTCATCAGCACCATTCCAAATAGCTGCGACAACATGACTTTTAAAACTTTTAAGGATTGATGGATCAGTTGGACCTCCCGAAAATGGCTGAGTAAGGATATCTTCATCAACAATGTCAACATCATCACCAATAGGGTCATCATCCATAGCAATATCATCCATAGCTGGTGCCCCATGTATAGGATTTTCATCCATGGCAATGTGCATGTCATCATCATGCACTCGAGCACGTCCACGTCCACATCCACGTCTACGTCTCTCTAATTCACAGAGTCTTCTGTTCGAAGCTGTTACTGATCGACGTTGACCGACATCCATCTGCATAAGAAAAGTTGTTCTTATCAACCCAATATAATGAAACATAATAAGCACTCCCATAAAAGGATCACATCAATGCGGGTAATAACTAGCCTAACCATGCCACCTTAATGAAATCTAATACACAGTTATAGACCATTAAATTCACAATTTGGATGTGAAATTAACTCAAGCTTTTAATACTCTATAAAATGCAATTATTTTGTTCACCTATTTAGCTAACAAAATTTATGAAGACCCAACTATTAAGCTAACAATATCATGTGAACATACTAATACTACATAGTTTTTTGTTTCTATTGTTATGCATTCAATTTGGGGGAAAAAAAAATACATAAACATACCCATAAAATAAAATTGAACCTAAAGTAAAACAAATATTGGTGGCCTATGTAACCTAGTTCTATATCAAAAAAAAAAAAACCATTCGTCACTTCAGGACTGAACCTACAAAAATATTTCATCAATAAAGTCCCGAAATCAATGCATTTATTCGGAATTAGAGCACTGAAAATATAGAATACATTCGGTTCTGGAACAACGAAGTTATCTATTTTTTTCGGAAGTCAATGGACAAAATTATGCATAATATTCGGAAGTCAAGTTCCGAATGAAAAACATATTTTCGAAAACCCAGTGCCGAGCACCTCCAGTCGCAAATCTAACCTACTTTCATGCCAATGGAGTGAAGAGAGATCCGAAAATTGTCAATCTAATAACAAAATGATAAATGTAATAATAAAATTGAAAGATTTCTTACCTTAAACAAGGTTTTCAACAGTGTTTAGTAGATATTCAATGGAGCTCTTGAAATCTTCAATAGAGGTGAGGAAAGTGCATATTTTTTTTGGTTTCCTATTTGAACTTCTTCTTCTTCCCTCTTGTTTGAAGTAGAAATGTAAATTGGGGTCACTTTGGTTTTCACGAAAGTGTTTCCTGTTTGAACTTCTTCTTCTTCCTTCCTGTTTGAAGTACAGATGTAAATTGGGGTCACTTTGGTCTTCACAGGAGTGGGTGGAAATTCAAGTGTGTATTTTGAGAGTAAAGTGTGTGTACATATGAGTGAAAGGGTTATTTGTAATTTTAAGGATGTGGGTTGAGATAATTACTTAATAATTAAATTAATAGAGATGTGTATTGAGAAAAGATTTGCCATGAGTTTATCAGGGTGTTGGAAATAGAATTTCCCAAAATGTCATATCAAATTCATAATCATTTCACTTTTTCTTTCACATACGTCCCATCTAATTACAAAAAAAAAATAATCATCTTTCAAAACACAAAAATTTTAACATACTAAAATATTCAAAAACTAAAATAATATACTAAAATAGCCAATTTCCCAAATAAAACCTATATATTGTGATTGATAATGGTGATAGAATTCATAATTTTGTATTAAGTGATTAAGGAATATGAGGGACATAAAGTTTTGTGATTGGCCTAAAATATAGTCACGTAATACCTTATGACCAACTAATAATTTTTTTGTTCGTTTAGGAAGTAGGTTGATTTTTTAAATTTTTGGATTTTTTACTATTTAAGTTTGGGGTTAAAAATCTTATTTGAAATAAATTTTTTAATTTTTTTAAATTTTTATAAGATAAATAATATAATAATTATAAATTAAATATTATATTTTATTTTATTAAATTAAAAAATCTATTTTATTTCATTAAAATTAAACTAACCCGAAATCCAGCCCAATTGTCAAATGAAGGCTACAGGCCTCCATTGACGTTTCCCTAAAAAACGGTTAGAAAGTCACATGTGATGGCATCACATTCGATAAGCAATGTCACTAAGGTTGAACATGGTCTGGATTTGACTAATCTAAGTCGTTTAAATTGTAGAATCAATTCGAATCAATTTATTTAAACACAGATTGAATAGGTTTAGAACTACGGATTTATATAATTAAATAATAAAAAATATATATATAACACTTTAATTTCATAAAAATATAAATATAACATCATATTAATTTCACAATAGTAACATGTCTTTTCATAATAGCGACAAACTGTTCTATAATTTAAATAATCATAAGAAAACTAGTTCCATCATAAGTATTTAGACCATTATAAATTAACACTAAAAACTAGCAAACAAAAGTAATAAAAAAAGATACTATGCAAGTTTAAATTTAGGTTTGGATTTAAGTTTTATATGAAATAAGAGAAGATAATATGCAGGAGGGTGTATAATAAAAATATAGACTATTTGTATACGGTCCGAATCGGTTCCAATCCGGAACCGTGGGGTTCAATCTAGAACCAATCCGTGAATTATGAATTTTTAATTTTTCAATCCGGAACCGAACTATGGATTCAAAAAACCAATCCAAATCTACTAAATTAGACTGAACCGAATCAAATTACGAATTTCACAGATTCCTTATTCAGCTCTAAATGTCAATTTACAGTAATACTAGTACTCAACATTATTGAGTTAATGATATATAAGACTTTTCATCTAACTTTATTTGGGATTTTTTATTCGCTGGTAATACTTAAATAGGATGGTATCATGGTCACACTTAATATTTTATCCTCCAATTTATAATCTGGATGAGATGGTATTTTCCGGGCTCATAGATCTCAGTATGGTTCCATTTCTATGATTCAAATGATTAATTTTGTAAGAGTTTTCGTATATATTATTTATAAAAAAATTAAATCAATTTAATAATAATAACTTATTGAATTTTATTATATTTGTGTAAAAAATATTAATGACAAGTATATTTTTAAAAATAGACCGTCTAATTTTTTGTTTAAAGACACGATAAATTGAATATTTACAATTATCAAACTATTATTTTTAATATAAATAATATACCCAAAAAGTTTTATAAAATGAACAAACAATACCTTTCAACTCAAATTATGGACAAGAGGGAAGCTAATTCATTTCTATTCTCCATTCGTTATGTTTACAACAAAAGAGGCAAATGCAACCAAAAGTAATTGCAGGCATAACAAAGAAATAATAGAAATTACATTTTTTAAAAAAATTCTTTATAATTTTACACAATTTTAAAGAGTAAAATTAAAATATAATTAAATTATTCAATGATGTCAACATTTTCTGTTAATTTTTTCACAATAAAGTAACAAAAGAAAAAATTTATAATAAGAAACTAAACCTTCAAAAGGAAATTTATGTCATTTCAAAAATTTCAAAAGAGATTTATTCAATTTCGTTAAACCTCACAGGAGGTAATTTAATTAATAATAAAACTTCTTTTGTTATTTCAAAAACTTTAGAAAAGATTTATGCAATTTCATCAAATTTTAGAGGAGTCCGTTTAATTAAAAACTAACTTAAAAAGAAGATTTATCTCATTTTAAAAATTTTAAGAGAAGTTTTCTTTTATTATACTGATTAATTATTAATAAAACCTGACTTACTATTATATGAATTAAAATATTAATACAAATATAAATATATTAAAAATATGTGACTAATAATATTTTTTTCAAATCTCATAAAAATTAATATGGTTCACTATTTTTTACAAAGCAATCATCCCTCTATACCTACACCTTTTTTCTTCCATTTTCCTCCCAACCAAACACCCCCTCCGAGCCATAAGATTGAACAAATCAATCCACCTCACTCACTCACTCACATTCTCTCTCCTCAAACCTATATATAGATAACAAAAATAAATAAATAGAAATAATTCCAATTTCAAAATTTCCAAACCCCCCACATCCAACGGTCCAGATCCAGTCTTCCCCCCACCTTGACTATATATAAATGCCCCCCTCCATTTCTCACGCTCCATTCCTCTCTCTCTATATCTCTTTCTCTCTTCATTTCTCTCTCTAACTCTGAAAATCGTCTCTGCAACTCTTGCCCTTTGGAGTTCGTTTCAACAATGTCGACCGAAAAGGAGAGGGAGACTCACGTTTACATGGCCAAGCTCGCCGAACAAGCCGAGCGATATGACGGTACATACATATATATATATAGATATATATCCATTTGTATATGTGTATGTACATAATAAGAATGTGTTTGTTCATGTATAGGAATTGTATATTTCAGCTCATAAATGCCAAATGATTTGGCCTCGTGTTTTGATTTGTATATATGAGGAATTCGTGGAATCTCTATATTGATGATTAATCCGATGTTTCTTTTGCTTTGATGATATGGTCTGATCTAATCCTGATTTGTTTGGTTTGATTATATTTGTGTTATTTGGAAATGTAGATGCCAATTCGATTGATTGCATTGTTAAATTTATTTTGATTCGCTTGTTTTATTGGAGTCGAAAATTCTAGTTATAATTCTTGTGTTTTTGGTTTTGATTTGATGCATGTGAGAAGCAAGACAGAAATGAGAGATGTTATTGTTATTTGGTTATCGATTGATTGGTTGAGTGTGATTGATTTTGATCGTTTGGACCCTCAAAGGAAATGGGCATTGTTGTATTTCTTTTCTTTCTTTACGGTCATTGTTTCATGTTACAGTTTGGGTTGTTCATTGGATGCAAGTTGAAATAAATTTTTTTAGATCGGGGTTAAAATACTGAACGATAGTGTACTACTGGTAGTTTTGCAAACTCATATATATGGATTATGGGGTAGGCAAAATGAACTTCAATCTTTCATATTGATGGGTCGATCAAAAAAAAAAAAAATCCTTTCATATTGGTGGTTTATTCATTGGTTGGGCAAGCTTAGATTACACAATATTAAGTTTCCTATGTTTCTGGACAGTTTTCTTTCTTTTCTTTTTGTATATGTATATATGGAATATAGATACAACCATATTTTACACTCCAATGTAGTTTTAAAATTTTTCTCTAAGATCGTAAAATCTGTGTTAACTCTTGTGGACAGACATTGAATGTGAATTCTCGATTAGTAACAATGCAAGATTGTTGCAATGCTAAACTTTAACTTTGATTGCTGTTACAGAAATGGTTGAGTGTATGAAGAGTGTTGCAAAACTTGATGTGGAGCTGACTGTAGAGGAGAGGAACCTGCTCTCTGTGGGGTACAAGAATGTGATAGGTGCCCGGAGAGCATCTTGGCGAATTATGTCTTCAATTGAGCAGAAAGAAGAATCTAAGGGAAATGAGAACAATGTTAAGCTCATTAAGGGTTACCGTCACAAGGTAGAGGAGGAGCTCTCAAAGATTTGCAGTGACATTCTGACTATAATCGACAAGCATCTCATCCCCTCTTCCAACTCGGGAGAAGCAACTGTTTTTTACTACAAGATGTGAGTCATGTTGTTCTAATGGTATAATTCTCTTAATATGATTGCTTGTTTGATATGGATTACTCTGTGACAATTCCCACGTGCTTGATGATGCTTTTTCATTTGGAATATACTACTATTATCTTCAGATATCTCATTGAATATATTCTAGGTGAAAACCGCCTTATGTCACTATGACAATGAGAGGTCACTTTTCTTGCCATTATTGTGTACTTTGTGTTTGATTAGTTTCAAAGTCTCGCATGCAAGGGGACAGCATTTTTGCTTTGCTTTCCATGCTTCCCTCCTTTATACAAAAACAAGTGGTGCACTCATGAAAGGAATTGAACTATCCATTTGATCTTTTCTTTCTATCCCTTTTTTGGTTTTTATACAAGACAAGTGGTGCACTTGGTTACTTTTCTTTTTTCTGATAATTTTATTGTCTTCTCAAAGTTACAAGTTATGGTGTTTTGGCTAATTCAGGAAAGGTGACTACTACCGGTATCTTGCTGAGTTTAAGACTGACCAAGAAAGGAAAGAGGCTGCTGAACAATCATTGAAGGGCTATGAGGCACGTTTACTTGTTGTAACATCTTATACATAGAGATGCATGGTGCACTGCTGCATATTACATAGTTTTTTTATTTTATTTTTTTTTGAACTTTCACTTGATGAGTCTTCTTGTTGCTGTTTCTTTGTTAGGCTGCTTCTGCCACTGCAAATACAGATCTCCCTTCAACACACCCAATTCGTCTTGGCCTTGCTCTCAACTTCTCTGTCTTCTACTATGAAATAATGAATTCTCCTGAGAGGTAATTTTTATTGCTCAAGCATCTAGTGTCACTTCTTGAGGTTTGGTTTTTATTTTATTTTTTTTTCTGTGGACATTCTCACCTCAATTTTTATGGCTATTTAATGATTTATATCGGTGGTTGAATTTGCAGAGCATGCCATTTGGCCAAACAAGCTTTTGATGAAGCAATTGCAGAGTTGGACACGTTGAGTGAGGAATCATACAAAGACAGCACCCTGATTATGCAGCTGTTGAGAGACAATCTCACTCTCTGGACCTCTGATTTGCCTGAAGATGGAGGTATAGTCTAGCCAGAAACAAAATAGATTAGGAAGTTTTTTGATGTGGGGATTTCAGCGCACTTGGCTTGGCTCTGATCTCTCAAATTTAAATCTGTTTCCATTGGTTGGAAAAGCCTTTTATACAGTGCTCAAATTGAAAGTTCAAATTCTTTTCATTATTGATATTGTTTTCATACATGAAATTCAAGCAGTAAATTGTTGAAGGGTGAATTTTAAGAAGAGAGAATGTGAGGTGCATATCAATCGCTAATACACTTGCATGCAAATGATATTTTTAATGCTTGGAAAACAATGAGGGAGGAGTTTGAATTTCTGTTCCGGTGTTTCCCCAACTTACATTGGGGCTATTTAATGATTTATATCGGTGGTTGAATTTGCAGAGCATGCCATTTGGCCAAACAAGCTTTTGATGAAGCAATTGCAGAGTTGGACACGTTGAGTGAGGAATCATACAAAGACAGCACCCTGATTATGCAGCTGTTGAGAGACAATCTCACTCTCTGGACCTCTGATTTGCCTGAAGATGGAGGTATAGTCTAGAATAGATTAGGAAGTTTTTTGATGTGGGGATTTCAGCGCACTTGGCTTGGCTCTGATCTCTCAAATTTAAATCTGTTTCCATTAGTTGGAAAAGCCTTTAATACAGTGCTCAAATTGAAAGCTCAAATATTGATATTGTTTTCATACATGAAATTCAAGCGGTACATTGTTGAAGGGTGAATTTTAAGAAGAGAGAATGTGAGGTGCATATCAATCGCTAATACACTTGCATGCAAATGATACATTTAATGCTTGGAAAACAATGAGGGAAGAGTTTGAATTTCTGTTCCGGTGTTTCCCCTACTTACATTGGCACAGAAACATACTCGTGAAATCTAAATTGTAAATAACTCGTGCAGGAGATGAGAACTTCAAAGTTGAAGAACCAAAATCAGCAGAGCCAGAGGTTAATCCTTCACTTGTTTTTCTCTGTGTTTTTCTATTCTTAATGTTAATTTAAAAATCTAAAATTAATCTCTTTTGCAGCATTGATGAGGTAACCAAGAGCACTGTGAAAGGCAATCCATGACAATACTATGCAAAATTGGCTTTTGCCTCAGTTTTTCTCACAAGGGGAGGAATTTACATGGGACAGTGTCAACATTTTATGATGGACAGTCAATCTTTTCAGCTCATCCCAAGCCAGATGATGATGAGAATTTTTGATGATCTGCCTGATAATTGTTCCTATTTTATTTTTCTATGTTGATCATTTGCTTCGAATTTTGCTGCTTCATGTACTTCCATAGATACTTCTATTTTTCAAATATATAAATATTTATATTTCAGCTCTTGTTTTAAATGACTACTTTTCTCTTCTTATCTTGCCTATTAAATTATTGGTATAGTAAACAAATCATGTTGATCTAATTAGAGTTGATTGTTCAAATTTCGATTAAAAATGAAAATTGATTTACAAATAGAGTTGTTATACAAAATTGCGACAAGAACAATGTGACAATGGCATTCTTAGAAATAGGGGTCATTTTGATAGACTTTTGATGTTAAAATGAGGAAACATATAGCTGTTATATCATTCTGAATAATTGAACTAAGCTTGAGAGCCTTTTTTTAACAAAAAAAAAAGTGTAGATGGGTTTATCAACCCTCATTTCAAATTGAGCTCAAATAATAATAAGGTTCAAAGAGTTTTTAACTTTAGTTTGTTTACATAATTGCATTGGCTAAATTGGATCTACACTCTTGAGGTTTGGCTTTAATATTGAATACTTCCTTGATGGTTTGGAAATAACATTTTTCTCCATAAAAATTATAATCTCATTATAATTTATCCCCTTTGTAACACCATTTGTTGACTTTATCAATCAATTTATTTGGTGGATTACAATGGTGCCCTTGACAACTTGGGCCCCTTCTTCAAAATTAACAATCTTTACATTGCATTTATTTCTCTCTCTAATTTGTTTGTCATAAATCGCTTGCTTTTTTTATTTTATTTTGCTCGATTTTTTGGTAGAAGGCAATGGTGGAGTTGGATTTTTGTGTATCTCATATTTGATGAATTGATTTAGAAAGTGTCGACCAAAATTGTCAGTAGTGAAGGAGGAAAGACGGGCTATGAAAGGAGGGCGGGGTAGAGAACAAGCCCCCTGCCTAGTCGAGCAATACAAGTCATTTGTATTGTGGCTTGATGTTTATGCGCATAGAACAGTATACACATTCATGAATTAGAAGCAGAATAAATGCCATTCTTATGCTTGGGAGATTGTACCAGTATTTTAGGACAATCACTTTGTGTGAATAATGTCAAATATTAGATTTTTTTATTTATTATTTTTACATAAATTAATCATAAAATCAAACACATTTCTTTAACATGCACCATTAGAAAAACTGGTTAAATAATATGGAACTATTTGCAACGGTGGCAATTATAAAATTAAACACATTTTTTTCACATGCACTATTAAAAAAACTGATTAAATAACATGGAATTATTTGAGATGGCGGCATTCAAGCCGTTAAAAAAAAGCCTTTTCTGTAGCAAATTAAAAAAAATAAAATAAAACTTTTTTGTTATGAAATCTTGTTGTCACAAAAAAACATTACATTTCCAAGTTACAACAATTATACGATACGGAAGAAAAATGTGACACTTAACTCATGTGAAAAATTATGTCGAATTTTATAATAGTTCTTTGTTCTTAAACTTTTTCTATTAGACTTGTACCAAAATTATCCCTCCCAAATTTCATTTTCTCTGAATCAAATGAGGCCTATTTCATTTATTGGAGACAGTAATATATGTAAATAGAAGAGAGCAAACGCTATGATAATACCACCTTCTTCTTCTTCTTCTTCTTCTTCTTTTTTTATGGTTTCCAAAGAACCAAATCAGCCAATCAAAACCTGGTTTAGCAACTTTATTTTTTAGCTAAAATAATCACAAAATAAAAATTAAAAAAAGTTACTATAAAGGCAAAAAAATCACTATAAAAAAGCAAAACATGTCAATAATTTACAGTTTTCAATACAATTAAAAAGTCACTTCTAAACTCAAAAAAAAAAAAATGTTTGATTTTAATTTTCTAAATTCAATTTTCTATAAATTAAGTTTTTTATTTTTCGTATTTTTAGTAAATATTTTTAAAATTTTAAGCAATTTTTTTACTTTTTTAGATGCACTAATATTTATAAAAAAATATTTTAAAAAATAATAAATACACAAGAATACGAAAAATGTATTATTGTTTCATTTTATAAAAAAGGTTAAAAAATATTAAAAAAATCAATTCTCAAACAAGACTTAAAGTGATAGGTTAAACGCTAATGACAAAAGTAGTAACAAATAAATATGATCTCCTTGGTGTTCTAGTTCTCATTTCCTGAAATAGCAGGGCTAGAAATACAAATTTTGGAATTCGCTACTGTTTGTGTGTTCCTTACGCTGTGTTTGGTTGAGAAATTTGGAGTAGGATTTGAAAAGTAAAAGGATAAAAGTATGTGAAATTAAGTGAAATATAAGTATGTTTTATTCACATTTTCTATTTTTATTTCTCTTTCCAAATCTCTTCTCAAATCCCCCAACCAAACACAGCATTAGGGGTTTTCCATTGTCCTTTGTGAAAAGATAGTTGCCTTTGTGTTAAAAGTATAGGTTCAATAATTTTGCAAATATATAATAGCAGTCTGTTTATCATGAAAATTGTAATGAAACCCTAATTACTTATAGGCAGGTCCTTCCTCAGCTGAGATCCTCCGACCCTCTAGCCAGCCCATGGCCTCCAGCAACATTCTGGCCGCTTCCAAACACCCTCCACTGCCAGCCACCACTTTTTGACAATTCACCTAACATATTTTTTGTTGATTTAAGAAAAAAAAATTCACAGCGTTATCATACAACGCTTATCTAATGACTATGCAAAGAACAGACTTTGGATATATGATAAAAACATGATCCTAGACAAAACAAACTCTATTTGCATGTATTTGTGATCAGGCTTCATTGAATTAACCATACAAAATATCAGTTGCCTCTATAAGTCTTGGAAACAGAAAACTCGTCTGAAAGAACCCTTGATAAAGAAGCAACAGATGATCTTGATTCGAGAATATGATATTGTCATCATTAAATGTGTTGTAATAATCCCTATCAATTCACTAGATTTTGTTCCTTCATGTTTCTTTCATTCATAAAAAATGAAAAAGAAAAAAAAGAAAAAAAGAAAAAAAGAACAAGTCAATTTTCTTTAAAAAGAAAAGTATTATTATGCTCTCAGAAATTTTGAAAGACATGTTGACATCCAACAGTATTTGCATCTTACTTTGTACACACAATTCTTAAATAACCAACATTTTTAAAAACGACAAAAATATCTTACGAACATGATGATCACACCATCAATATAGAACAAACAAAAAACAACTTCAAAGGAAAACATGTATGTATACCCAAATTTTGTCGCTCAAGATTCTTCCTTTACAAAATAGCTTTGCGGCAGGCAAAAATCCTCCTCCTGATTCAGGATTTCCACATCCTCGTCGTCTGATTTCTGAAATTTAGCAAAATAAGAGAATGTTAAGTACACTGCAAGTCTTCACTATCAAAACGAAAAGATGGAGTGCCTTTTAAAACAATCTACAGAGGAAACACATGCACAAAAAGTAAAAATTTGCTGTTTTTTCTTTCTTTTCTGATGATAGTAAACTTTTGACAGCTCTTGAAACACATCCCGAATCACAAACACAAAACATATAGTACATGGCATAGCCAGATAAAATATCGAGATTAAATCTTCCAACATCTCCTACTGTAAGTTGTAACAATTCATTTGTCCTAGCAGTGCGCCATTGGATATCTGACCAGACCAGACCAATCAGCACTCATCTCAATTTATCATTAATTGGAGGCATGGAAAAACCTTTGGCTTTTTCCAAATTGAGTCTCTTATCCGTCTTAACATCCTAACCTAAATTTTCTTTTGACAAGTATGCCATTATGATACAAACAGTCCATGAACTGAAACATTCATAGTTATGCGACAACATGTGTCTGTTGTCCTCAAATATTATTCATCAATAATGGGTCCCTCATTAGCTCTCTGAAAATTGAAATCATCCAATGTGGTTTACAAAGCATTTGAAATGAGTTTATTAATAAGTATTGAACAATCATATTATGGGTTTTAAGGGATGAATTCACCAATAGTATTTCGGTGATGATCGATTCATGATGATGATTCCATGATACACCATCAACGTTTGAGATCATATGCTATGTAGAACAAGGAGGACTTTAACAATCTCCATTTTATAGCATGCAATGGCTTTTCATTATAATCGCATCTATATTTGTGAACAAAAAGTCATCATTTAGAAGATAACATGAAATGTCATCAAAATGTCATTATACTTGCCAGCATTTCCAAGTCGTAGAAACGATCCAGTAGCTGCAGAACATCCGTAGGAGAAAAGGGTCGACCAAAGCTGCAAGAATAACTTACCTAAGTGTAAGAATATGCAGGAAAATTACCAGATCTTTACTTGAAGATCTAGGAGAAGAAATTAAGAAAAAGAAAAGGTAGAACAAACCTTCTTCGCAGATGTTCCATTAGACCATAAATGACAAAGTGACGATGCATGCCTGCAGAAAAGCATTTAGTCAAATGAGTCATTTGGATATTGATGAAACTGAGAGACAAACTAAAAGCTAGTCTATCATTGAAAGATACCTCCAAATTGTCTTGAAAATTTTATTGCTTTTTTAATTTCCATTCATATGACATTTTTTGTTTTTTTGTTTTTGTTTTTGTTCTTTTTTTTCCAAACCTACATTAGCATGAAACGAATCAATAAATAGTTCATGTAACATTGGGTAGGTTCAGGTATGGAATAACACATGGTAAAATGGGAACCAAAGCCGTGATTTCCTCCGAACTTGGACCTATATTTGAGTTCCTTTAGAATCAAATTACAAATGAAGCGGTCTATGATCACCTATAACAAGCTATAAACATGAACCAGAGTTCTCAAGCCTATTTTTAAATTGAAAGGTCCTCTAAAATAATGTTTCAGGTTATTTTATGCCACTTTCAAAGAATAACCAAACCTACATGCCTTGCTTGCACATTCTGAAACTTCTGCAGAAATGGAAAGTTAAATCAGCGATAAAGTAACATAGGTCATGAAAGGTAACTTAGCACCCTCCTAAACCTCTAGAAGTGCCATCCACCAAAGTTGAGGGAGCCCACAAGGACCTTCTTGCCCCTACTTCCTAATTAATACATTCCTTAAACAAAACCCTCCAAATGCCAAATGAATGCAGTTGAATACAAGGCATTATTAAGCCTCCACCACCCAATGCTTATCATTACTGGCTACCATCGCCGATGATCGCCAACCACCTTCTTTGGCCACCACCTCTTGTTCAAAACCACCTTATAGGGCCAACCAACCCCCATCTCCAACCATAAGCAATCACTTTCAGCTATCACTTCATGTGGCCAAGAACCTCCTCCGGCTACTGCTAACCACCTCCCACCAATGAAAACCACCTTTGGCCACCACCTCCCGTGATCGACAACCACCTCCGGCCACCATCTCCAACCGTTTGACAATCACTTCTTTTCACTTGTTTTTAAAATACTTGTGTACCAAACTTGATTTTTGTTTCTATTTTTACCCAAATTAAACATAAATATGTTTTGTGTTTTCTGTAACTAAAAACAATAAACTATAAACATTCCATATTATTATCTTAATAATAACCCATAAATTTCACATGCATGATTAATTGCTTATCAACTTTTAATTAAAACTACCAAAAAAATGCTTACCAATAAAAAAATGAACAGTAATTATTGAATCATATATCCTTAGTTCCTTACAATTAAATGCCCATCTCTTTTATTGATTCCATTTACAAAACCATCATCTAAATTTACACAAAAATTGCCCTTAACATTAACACTCATTTTTAGGGATATAAGAAAAATAGAAAAAATCGATCAAACTGAATGAACCTCCGTATTTAGTCTGTTTTTTAACAAGAATTGATCTATGCAATTTTTTAATTTGATTTTTTCGATTTTTAATTCGGTATCGATTTAAGCACACCGAACTAAACCGACACCGACCGTTTCAACATATATTGTATTTATAATATACGTATATATATATATAATTTAATAATTAATAATGTTAGTAAGTATAATAAATTATTAATCTCAATTAATTAACCATATCATCCCTATAACTTAAGTTAGAATACCCTTATTATATATAATCTTAACTTTAACTTACTATATATTTATTATTATTTTTTTGTTAATTTATAAATTGTAAAATATTTATTAAATGGATGGATAATATATGTTTGAAATGGTTGACAAATGGCTAATTCAATGTTTTCACATAAATGAGTGACTATACTAAAAAATAGCTTAAATTTGAAAGATCCTTCGCTGATTAAACCGAACCGTGTCAATTGATGAGGTTCAGTGCAGTTTGATAGGACAAGTAGTCTGATGCTCAAAATAATAAAATTGACATTATCAATTGGGTGAAAATTTTTACCTAAATACTGATCCTACCGAATCGATAACATCCCTTCATTTTCATTGTCAAACACAAATCAAGTTTCACAAACATTTCCCAAGCTTTGACGAGAGAGAGAGAGAGAGAGAGGCAAAACATCAAAATGAAATTTCTAAACTTGCCTCTCAATTTGGAAGGAGGATAAATTGCAAGAGCTTCTAACAATTTAAGCTCCAATTCGACCTGTGATTGCTCCTATTTACACAAAAATCAAGAAATGAAACAAAAAATTAAAAATTTAAATAATGCAAAATATAAATTCATCCATGTATATACACACACATATATAGAGAGAGAGAGATAGAGAGAGAGGGGTGACCTTCCGGAGAGAAGAAGCAGAGGACGGTGGGGCCTTGCATGGTGAATGTACGGACATGCCATCTTGTTCCTCTTCTCTACTTCCGCCGCCTCCGCCGCCACCACCGCCGCCTCCGCCGGCCATTGGCCGCAGATATATATTATGTACGTATAATTTATGCCTATATATAAAAAAAATAAAGATTTTTTGATCTGGAAATGGTTTCTAATTGTGTATGAGTGTATGAATAGACATCAAACTAGATCGAAATTGAGAACAGTTTAGATGTGGAGGTGGTGAGCTAGGGTTTGAAAGTTTCAAGCGTTTGATCGAAAAGGGAATTGAAACAAAGGTGGTTATGCTGTTGGGCTTGTTGGGCCGTTGAGCTCTACGACTTCGTGGAGGCAAGATTGGGCTCATAGCCTGCTTCCGAACGGGGCTACTTGATGTTCATATCTTCTATACATAAAACTAAGGGTAAATTACATTGACACCCCCGAAGTTTATATTTATTACAGTTTTTTCTCACCTTTTGAAAATTACGTTCCCCTTCCTGAGGTTATTATAGATTGCACTTTTAGTTAGTTGACTTAACAGTCAACTAATAGATTTTACTGATGTCAGCAATTTAATTTTTTTAAATACCAATTTTGCCTTCACTGGATAAATTACATTGACACCCCTCGCATTTTAAAAATTGCAATCCTCTCCCTAAGGTTTAAAGTAGCATTACCAATTGCCCCCTCGATTAGTATTAGTTGAAAAAAAAATTATTTAAAAAAAATTAATTGAAAAAAAATTTGTTAGTCAAATTTTTAATTTTTTGTTTAAAAATCAACATAAACTCATTTTTTGAATTTACGTTTTTTTCTCAAATTTACAAACTGAGACAACCATTTATAAACCAAAAATATTATTAAACAAGTTTGTATGACATTTTTTTTTTTTAAATTTTTGTATATATAAATTGAAAATTGAAAACGAAATGGTTACCAAACAAGTCTTAGATGGTAAAAATGTCGTAAAATTAACAAATAATTAAATAAGTTACCAACGTAAAAAATGACTTATCAAAAGATTCTTAGGCTATCTATGGTTTGATTTTTAGAAATTTTTTTTAAAATTAAAAATTAATTTGGTTAAGAAATAAAAAATAAAAAATAATTATCATTTTTATATAAGATTACAATTCTCCTTTCTGACAAATAACAATACTCAACTTTGTTACGCCTGCTTAATATGTAAAGCGTTATAACATTCCTACCAAATTACTTATATTTTATCTTACAATATTATTAAAAATTTTATTTTTTATTTTAGAAATTACTTTTTCATCTATTTTTCCTAACAGACTCTCTATTCTTTCTCTATTCTATTGACAAACTCTATATTTGTTTTCTCTATTCTATTAAAATATAATTTTTCATTATAAATTTTTTTAAAAATAAAAATCATAAATGTTTACTACAGTACAATCCCCAAACAAAGCAAAGCAAAGCAAAAATATGTATATAATGATGCTATAGTGACTTCCTACAAATAGGGAACACTGCAGCAATTCTTATTTTAGGAGAGTGTTTAAGGGAGCTGCTGGAAGTGTATAGGGGTCATCAAACCCCTTAAAATAGGTAAGGAGGGGATATAAGGGTTCTATTAGAGATGCTCTAAGTAATAAAAGTCTTATTTTATAAATTCAAAGTTATGGGTTAAAGTCTTGTACATATTTTTCTATTTAACTTTTTATTTTAAATAAAAAAATAAAAGACACGAGGTATAAAGAGAAGTAAGCAAAGGTATACCAAATCCATCCCCAGAAAATTAGGTAAAGTAATAATCATACAAAAATTTTAATAATCCTTGCCCTATTATAATTTTTTTATCACATTTTATTTATTACAAGAAAAATGTTTGACAGTACTATTTGAGCACCCTCAATCCACCCTTAATGACATTGAATAGGCCGTATAAATCAGTGAATCCACACTTCTCATCCTTCCTCTCTTTATCTCTCTCTCTCTCTCTCTCTCTCTCATTTTCCTCGGAGTCAAAATGATAAGGGTGAGCATGAACCAGATTGGATCGGATTGGAGTAAAACCAGGACCAATCTGTTATCTACGGATCCTGAAAAATTGAAACCAATCCAATCCGTTTAAATCGTGGAACCAATCCGAACCAATCCATTTAAACACGAATTGGATCTGTTTAGGACCACGGATTTACATAATTAAATAACAAAAAATATATATATAACACTTTAATTGCATAAAAATATAAATACAGCATCATATTAGTTTCACAATAGCAACATATTTTTTCGTAACAGCGACAAACTGTTCTAGAATTTAAACAACCATAAGAACACTAGTTCCACTATAAGTATTTAGACCATTACAAATTAACACTAAAAACTAGCAAACAAAAGTAATAAAAAGAAGATACTATGCAAGTTTAGGTTTGGATTTAAGTTTTATATGAAATGAGAGAAGATATTATGCAGGAAGGTGTATAATAAAAATATGGACTATTTGTATACAGTCCGGATCGGTTCCAATCCGGAACCGTGGGGTTCAATCCGAAACCAATCCGTGAACTACGGATTTTTAATTTTTCAATCCGGAACTAAACCACGGATTCAAAAAATCAATCCAAATCGGATTCAAAAAATCAATCCAAATCTACTAGATTAGATTGGACTGAATCAGATTACGGATCTTACAGATTTCTTACTCAACACTACAAAATGATAGTGTTATATTGAGGACATAACATAGTTAATAAGTGCAATGAGGTCCACATGAACTAATATTTAATAATTATAGATGTGTCAAATGGTAAAAAATATTTGGGTTTGGTTATGGTGTGCAACTTACACCTTACATCTTATACCTTACACTTACACCTTACACTTACACCTTTTGTAAAAAATTAAACCTTACATTTACACCTTTTTTGAGGTTGCACACCATGTGCAACCCACTTACACCTTACACCTTGCACTTACACCTTACACTTATACCTTATACTTATACTTACACCTTACACTTACACTTTTTGTGTAAGTGGCACATGGTGTGCACTTGCACACTTAAGAAAACTCCAAAATATTTTAGGACTTATTTGATCATTTTTATGTTTATAGTTTTCAATTGATACTTACCTAAATTATAAAAATTATAAATAAAAAACTAGTCTAGTAATTATTTTTATATTCAAATAAGTTATAAAGTTAGGCCTTGTTTGTGATAAATTATAAAAATTAAAAGCCTATACTATTAAAGGATAGCTTGTGGAAGAAGTCGCTAGAATAAAATAACCTTTGAATTCAACTATTTAAAAAGTCAAAAAGTTAAAAATCAAAAGGATAAAATTGTCATTTTAACTTTACTACAATATTTTATTACACATTTTTTTATAAAAAGTTAAAAAATTATCCCAAATATATATATTTTTTTCTCTACTTTTTTCTTTTTTTTTTTTATCAAAAAATCAAAAAATGCTCTTATATAACCTATGTCAAACAACTACTTAATTTCATTAGTTTAGAGAGAGGAAAAAAAAATCATTTCTCCCACCTTGTGTTGCCACCCAACACTTATTATCGTTCTCTCAGCCAGCCACCACTCACGTTTGGCCGCCATTGTAGATAAGCTCTCCATCAATCATTTCCAACGTCCACCAATCGTGGTTGCCAACCACTTCTCATTGCCAAGAACAATTTTTGACTATCATCTCCAACAATCAATAATATTACCTCTTATAATTAACAATTACCTCTGATTGTTACTAATTACTTCCTATCAAGATCGATAAAAAAACTTCGACCACCAACTACTTCTCTTATTTATTTTCAAAACAAGTTTAAAAAGGTGCATTCCAATTTTGTTTTATTTTTATATAATCTTATAAATAAAAATAATAAAATATAAACGTTATAAAATAATATCTTAATATTATTGCAAATTTTTTTACATAAAATAATATAACAATAATATTTTTATAATTATAAACCAAATCGATGTGATTGTTGTTTCCAATAAATGAATTTACATATGTTACACATTATTGTAAAGTTTATATATATTTTTTGTTTGCCAAAGCATTATCACTAAAGGGTGGCCTAGTGGGTGAGGGAAGAAAACCTGGGGTCTGGGAGTTTGTTCTGTGTGGGTCACTGGAGGTTTGCCCCACGATTAGTCCCATGCTTCGGCTGTGGGGATACCTGAGTCATCAAAAAAAAGTCATCAAAAAAAAAAAAAAAAAACATTATTACTACATTAATTATTTTGTATTCATACTTTTGCTTACCAGTTGACCACGTAACATATCATGCACCTATATTATAATAATAACAATAATATAAATTAATTAAGCATGCCTCGTGTTTTGTTCATTTGGAGAATGTCTTTCTCAATGTTAGAAAACAACAAAAAGCCTTTAAAGTTTGGTGATCAAGCCAATGATCCAACTAACTCACATGAGAGAACTCCATTATTGAGCCAATGATCCAACTAACTCACATGAGAGAACTCCATTATTGGAATATTTTACTCAAATTCATCATCTTTTATATATTATTTTTCCATATGATATGTCAGTCTAGTTGTCATACACTGCATTAGAGATATACATTTTGGGATCAATCGGCAGGAGATGATTATTTATAAATATAAAGAGAATTACATCAATCTGGTGCTATGTAGGAAGTCTAACAATATATACTCACAAGTCCAACTCCAACAAACAACTATATCAATACAAAAAGGAGCCCCATAACGAAGAAAATAAAAAACTAAAGAGACTCCTAATAGAGAAGAAATAATCAATCGTTTCCTTGGGCAAAAATTGACTCCCTGACCTCTTAATTGAGTGTACATGAGTGGCAAACTGAGCTATTATAGTTGATTGAATGCCAATTCCAAGACCAAAACATCACATCATTAATAGCGGGACCCACTGCCACCTAATTAGTGGGAGCACCAATTAGTGCTCCCAAGCATTTTTCTATAATATAATATGATAAATATAATGTTATTACATATATGAAAAAAAAGGTGAAGTTCCATCTTTAGTTCTATCAAATAAAATGATAAGTATAATATAATATAATAATATGATAAATATAATATTATTATATATGTGGAAAAAAATAAGGTGAAGTTCCATCTTTAGTTCTTCCATGATATCATTGGCTACTATCCAACTTAAAAAGCTTTGTGGAGTCCTAAAGGAATAAGAAGCACATATAAACAATGTGAATATGCCATGAAGGGGTCAATCATCAAATGTATTTTTTTACTAAAACCATGAGATATTGGAGACTTTGTTGGAATTGCATTTATGTCATTTGGGATTCTGGTTCCATAAACCTCAGGTTGGATCAGCTTTTTTTACTAAACTTTTCAT